GGCCCAAGACACAAACTTTCCATTTCCCGAGTGGTGAAGCGAAGATTACTTTAGAAGATGTTGTTTACCAACTCTCCTGTGAATGAAGCCCCCATGGTGAGTTGAAACAATTACGACCCCATGACGTTGGTCTACCAAGTTTTGAGAAAGTTGTCATCATCTGAGTTCATCGATGGCTATCAGGTATAGATGACGTGATTGGAATCTAAATTCCAAGTGACGGCTAAATCCATTAATTTGGCGCACACTCGGTATCTTCAAATATTAAATGATTTTGCTGAGTGTCGCAATACCAGTTAGGACTTGACGATTTTAACCTTTATGTATCGGGTGCTTTGCAAGGCTACAATTATCGAGCAGGGTCGAAAAGCCGATGTAGCAGGCTGTCTAATATTGCTACAATCATGGGCTTGGTATCGATTCCCGCTTTTTATGCTGATTACAACAACCTCGGTCGAGTTTCCTATTGCTGGAAGGTAATTTTTAACTTTTTTAAAAACAAATTTGATTAAATTAATTAATTTTTTTCATCTGTTTTTAATCTTTTTCTATTTTAAAATATTTTAGATGCCGCTATAAAATAATCGAGACGAAGTTGTCGGGCGTTACTGTAAAAGATATACGGATGAGGATTGACATTGCCAGTTGATATGTAGTATACATTTGTTCTTTTATTATTATTATTTTTAAAAATTTTAAATTTTATATATATTAACTTTGATATTTAACATTTACAGTTTTCTTGGTTTCCATATGCTGACGATAAGGTCTACGGGTTATTGCCACCGTAATTTTTTAGGGGTCCGATTTATGGTGTTTCGCGAATCTATTATTACATTTTGCAATTGTTGACTGACACACCACTAATAGAGTACTGTGAAAGTATGCATCACATCAGCTGATTCCTACGCAAATCGTTGAGATGGACGCGCTCCATATAATTGATACGTGTAGGAAACATACCAAAAATTGACTGACGAAGCACACTTACTACATCGAGCTATGGAATTAGCGTCACCTATCGCTCCCCCCACGTTATGAGATTACACTGCTGGACCTAGATTTTGACCATTCTCCCTATCTTTGAAATTACGAAGCAAATGGGAAACGATATCTCACGACACCACAACAGAGGGGAGAATGAGAATAACATCAGGTCAGATTCCCCACGTCCAAGAAGAAATTATCGGTGTCTTTTTCTTCTACTTCAACATCTGCAATTAAAGATTACTATTATGCATCTCAGGCTAGTTTTGGTTTCTATCATGCATATCATTCTTCAATCGAGACTCAACAGACTTGGGTTGGAGGTTCATGGGATGCAATGCAACACACTCAAACATCTTCTACAGAATATGCTGGTGACGGTGAATGGGATCATATCATATATGTCCAACAATATAGCCGCCAAGTCAATTTAGTAACGACAATGATAGCGTCAAATACCATAAGCCCATCATCGTATTTCAAAGGTGGATCTCAGAGTGTGTTAAGTACACCTCCTCGGCAAGATGAAGACGACGACGATGACTACAACGATAATCAAGGCCGACGACCCCTGCGTACTCGACGAGCCTCGTGCCATTATCATTCGACCACTCCTCAGTATCGTCAAGAACTTAGAAAATATAAATAAATTTTATTAGTTTGTAAACAATGTTATTTTAATAAAAAAAATTAATTAATTTTTTTTAAATTTAACCTGGGTGAACTCGTCATTTCGACGTGACGAGTTCCATTGTGACTGTTGCACAACTGCCCGTTAACTAACGACTATAAAACAACTAATTTTTTGAATTCGAAAGTAACTCGTCACATCGATGTGACGAGTTACCTTTTTAATTTCTAATTTTAAATTTTTTAATAATAATTTTTTTAATGGACTATCAGGTCGAGGTGATGAGTCCGCTTAAAAATAATAAATTAATACTCACGTGAGACCCACTCATCCGAGTCAATTGAAAAATAATATTTCAAATAGTTCTCCCAACTAGTTCTCTTTAGAATTCTTCCCTTCTTTTAATGGGCCTTACTAGTAAGGTCCCCGCGAGAGAATACGGACATTCAACATTTAAATTTCTTAATAATTCGATTGTGACATTTCATAAAAATTGTATATATTGGGTTTTTGATAAACCACGAATACTTATCCATTTGTTTGATATAAAATAGTTTAACCTCTAAATATATAAAATGTTCATAATCGATACGATTGAAATAATATATTAATTTAAAATTTAATGCGTATGATTATTAAGTTATATTGGAAATTCGATGCTTAAAATATTTATTCTATACAATATTATATGTGTGCAATGCTGTTATTATTTACCACTAATGCAATGACTTCATCAAGATTTATTACAGCTAGCCTTGTTGTCTCTTTCAAATTTGGTGTTTATCTAATTAGTTAGGTGATGCTTTATGAGAGTACTTTACAGGTGAAGTACTACTCTAGTGCAGATTTGAATTGCAATGGCTCTGTTGATCCATTAGCCCTATGAAAAAGCTTCTATGTTGCTCCTGGAGCGTAAAGTTTAGCTTGGAGAGCTCTTATCGAGATGCCCGGGGACTCTCTAGGAGTAGAGAATAGGATGTGATTTATTTTTTGTAACCTCAGTTCTCTGGTGCATTGCGTGTTGCATCTGATTGGCTGTGATCCATGAACAGATGGTTTAAGGAATGATTTAATAAGGACGAATATGAACACTCTTTTTCCTCCGTTTAAGTCTAGGAAGATTTTTAATGAGGTTCCTATCTGTAGCCCTTCTTAGTATGATCCCGTTTTCAATAATATAAAACACCTTTAAAGAAAAATCATTTTTAAGTCTGAATTATTTTGAATTCGAGCCATTGAGGTTCATCAATAATTTTTTTTTTGAGTGGGATTATCTTATGTTTAGATCATTTCATATTTAGATACTTTAGGTTTAGATATTTTAAATTCATGTTAATTTTTAAATTAAAATAAATAAATTAGAATAATTTATTTTCAGATTCTAAATTAATTGAATTAATTTTAAATTGGAATAAAATTTTACTCATTTAATACATCTCTTTGAAATAATAGGACTAAATCTTGTCTAAAGAATGATATTGAACATATTTATTCATGCTTGGAATTATTGTATCATCGTAAAATTTCTAATTAGTTCAATCAATTTTCTTTTTTGTTAAAATCACTTTCACAATCATAAATATGAAACTGACGAATGATCACAATTAGGTTGATTTCAACATCAAAAACCCTCTTCCATATTAATTCCTCAAATCAAATTCATAGTCTCAAAATATGATTTTCACAAATAATTTCAACACAAAGGAGTAGTTAAGTAATTAATGACACGGCCATGGAATTTTTCTTCTGAGCTAACTCAGTCACATATTCTCTCCATTGCTAAACTAACACCTAAATCTCAAATTTTTTCATTAATTTGGAGTGATTATAATATAATATTTGTTTAAAAATTTTCTTAGTTAAGTAATAACATATATACTTCATGTAAACCTAATTGCTTAAACTCGAGTTCTCTTAAAAAAACAACATTTCAAACAACATTTTATTTTACCACTAAAACCACTAAATAAGTTCATTATAAGTTGATGCCACTTCTCAAATTAAATTATAATTTAATTGTTTTATTACACAATCAATTTTTATTTTGAGTTGACTTGGCTTTACATATTTTTTGTTTACACGTCAATTCACCATCACTTTGTATCTTCCTCAATTTTTAATGATACATGATGATAATATTTATTCAAATTTTTTAATCTATTAATAACGCATACACACCCTGTAGATATAGTTTCTTAAACTCAAGTCTTCTAAGAAGACAAATTTTATATTTTATCAATGAGACACTCAAACACTCGAGGCAATTACAATGTAGTATATGTAGACCTGTTAAACTTGACGCGAACCCGCTTACCCAAACCGATTTAACTGACCCAATACTCGATATTAATTTGAACATGATGATCAAATTTGATTCGAAACCCGAACCATACCCGTCCCAAATCATATCCGATGAAAACTTTAGCTAATTCAATATGGACTGATATCTAATTTGACCCGAATAAAAAACAATCCAAATTGAAATTAACCCGAACCGAAAGCAACCCAAACTGAAAATAACCCGAACTCAAACAACCTGAGCAACCCGAACCGAAAAGCAACCCGATTCGAAATTTATCGGAACTGAAAGTAATATGAACCAAAATTATATATATAGTTGATTAAATTTATTACCAAATTAAGCCTAAATGATAAGATCAACAAACAAGAAGACATATTTTTACATGAATATATCAATAATTCTATATATACTTGATTAGACTATAACCAATTCAATCTGAATTGGTCTGATCCAATGGTTGATCAAATCGAAAAGAAATGACTTGACTCGAACTCTAATTGATCCAATATTAACCTTACCCGAAAATCAACCGATCCAAACTGAGAAACAACCGATCCAATAGTTATTCGACCCAAAAATTGAACCCACCTGTTATCCGACCTGATCCAATTTATCATACACCAGAACTAAATTCGAACAGACCTGATCCGCCCGAATAAAATTAAACCGAATATAATCTGCATCCAAATCGAATCCGACCCAAGCTCGATCCGAATGACCAGTTTGCCACCTCTAAGTATATGTTCGAAACATTATCAATCATTTGATAATGAATGCTCAAACATCTTTGCAGACATCGTAATCACAATTAAATAGAGTAAAAGGACTGAAATCTTAATTTGACCGTTTAATTACACAATAAATTTTTATTAGAGTTGACTTGGTTTTAAATATTTTACATTTACACATCATAACCACATTTGACATCCAATATTATACCCTCTCCACTCTTTACCTAACATCATCACCCAATTTTCCCACCATCTCTTTTCTTCTTTCTTTCTTTCGTTCTTTTCATTAAACATATACACATGGTTGAAATCTAAGCTTTGTTTTCATAACTAAAAAACCCAGTTTATAATGAGTTCTATTTGCATTTCTAATTGTTTGAACGATGCAAGGGAGCCCAAGGTGCGTATGAGGGCAACCTATGTGAATCTTCACAAATGGCCCGAGTTAGATGCCGAGTTTATAAGATCAAGGGGCGGTTCATCCATGCATTGTCGACCACCAAGTGATGGAGTTATCTCCTGCAGGCAGATGTATCTGAGGAGCTATAGATTTTCCAGGAAACAAACTGTGCCCCAAAAGACTGTGAAATGCTTTGGGAAAGTTAAAGACAAGATGCGTGGGAGGAAGAAGAACAGCCAAAGGAGACGTCTTTTAAGTAGGAGGAAGTGTTTGGTTTGGAGAAAAGTTAAGGTTGTTTTGTTTAGGTTTTTTAATAGGTTGCTCTCTTGCTCTGCTAGTGTTGATGTTTTGGATCAAAGGACTGCTTCATTCTGAAACCCTTTTTTTGCTTATTTTTATTTATTTTCTGAATTAAGATAAACAGGGCTTTGGGTGTATTTAATATGTTTTTAAGTTGTTCAAAATGTTTAAAGCTAAGTAGGAGCTATATATGTTTATCTATGCTTCTGACCACAGTGATAAATATGCTAAGAACATTGATATTTTCCCTTCTATTTTAGCAAATTCAGAAAGAACTGTTGTTTTTGTCATTTGTTGAATCTCTATTTAAGACATTTATTATAGTAAGCCCTAATAAATTCAAATCAAGATTCCCCACCTTTTGTCTTCTTTTCAAAGGAGCTTTTGAGCATGACAGAATTTGACAGCAAAACATTATGTATACTGTCTGTTAAAAAAATTGCAGAAGCAGTTTGAAATATGTTTATGAAGTTTTTTCTATTAAAATGTCGGTGTTTGATGCATAGTTTTCAAGTATATTCAAATAGGAGTAATCAAGAAACACTCTTTAAATATATAAAAGATATATGTAACTCTTGATTCGAGAAATGAAATCGTATCGATTTTTGGCGTTTTATTTTCTTTAATTTAGATGTAAAATAGTGATTAATGGTTTTGTGCAAGAACTTAACCATAGATAATGAACAATAAAAGAGGCTGAGAGAGATATATCCCTTATCCAATTTTATATAGTAATTTATATACGAGTCTTTAATATATGTGTCATATTTAGAATGAGTTGATAGATCACATGGACATATCAACAACATTGTTTTGAAAACCGGACTGGATCGGTCGGTTCAACCGGGAACCGTTGTCTAGTCCGGTTCAATCTACACCGGTTGAATCGCTACTGGTGAATCGGTCAGAACCGCTGAACCGTTCGAACCGGACCGACTGAAAACTAGAAAAAACCGGAAATTTTGTTTTTTTTAAAAAAAAAATTAAACCAAATGACGTCGTTTGTTAAACAAGCCAAGTCGAACTCGAGTATTGCTGAGCTCGACTCAAACTTGAAAACTTTAAAAGTAAGCTCAACTCAACTTAAACTCACGAGCTAAAAATTATCAAGTTCAACTCAAACTCGAAATATAATATTAAAACTTGAACTCAAAAAGGCTTGAACTCAAAAAAAAATTAGAAGCTCGATTGAAGCCTAAAATTCGAGCTTGATTGAAGTGAAAGAATAGTTCACTCAATGCTCACCAAAAGGCTCCATGATTTTGAATGTCAAATTACCTCTATTATTTATAGAAGTTAGTTGTGATGCTCTTCTATGTTTCTTAGCCATGTGAGATTGTTTTGTTCTCATATTTTTACTCTTTAGACTTTTGGGATGCTCTTCTATGTTTCTTAGCCATGTGGGATTTTTTTTTTAAAAAATTAAACCAAACAATATCATTTTTTTTAAAAAAAAATTAAACCAAACAATATCATTTTGTTATGATTTTTTTAACCCTAAATTTATTTTTTAATTATAGTTATATAATTATATTTATTATTTAATATGTTTTACCTTAAATATTATGTTGTAGTTAATTTGAATATCTTGTTTCACTTGATTTTATGATTTTTAACTTATATATGTTATGACTTGCTTTGAATATGACTTGTGATATAAAAAATTATTTTTTATTAAATATTTTTGGTATTTTAATTTAATTTTTTAAATAATTATGACGTCGTCCGATTTTTCTGACCGGTCAGACCGATTAAACCAGTGAACCGATAGTATGACCGGTTCGTTAACCGATCCGGTTCTGAAAACCATGATCAACAATTGTATCCAAAGACTGTAACTCGGCTAAGAATATAAAATGTCAAAAACTTTAAAAAACTACAAAAACTTAAAAAAAAGTAAAAAAAAAAAATTCAAAAAAAAATGAAATTAAACTTTAAAATTATGTGGTATCTTTAACATTTACTAGAATCACAGTAAAATAAAAATTTTGTATACTTTCTCTGAATCTTCTTTTGTTCCAATTTCGAATGAATTTTTCATGTGTCGCAATATAGTATTCCTCTAAACTATGAGTTTGTTAGGTATCAGAAACGAATTGATAAAAGCACTGGATACCTTATGCGTATAAATAGGCTTTTTATTTCACCAATAACAGGAATATATATATACATTTCTGTCCCTTTTTGTCAACGTCTATTGTTGCTGCCAAAATTCTTCATAGGTAACTGTACTCTGCATTGAAATAATAACCTTCTGTTCGGCTCTAAATTACAAAGCTTTCTGTTTACTTTTTGAATAATTAAAAACAAATTTCTTAATGAAACTAAAGATCTATTTCTAAAAAGAATATATGATGGAATTAAAAGTTAAAGTAATATTTTTAGATAAATAACAATGTTCTTAATATAATATAATAAAATCGATGGAATTAAAACAAAAATTATTTTAATTGTCAATAAAACTAAAATAACTTTCATTTTTATAATGGAACAGATATACTATATCGGTTATGATTTGTTAATCTTTATGATTTGAACAAAGAATCATAATAAGGGATTATGTAGTGATCGGTCGGTGTTAAGATCTTTCGATTTTATAAGGAAAGAAAGGAGAATAATAGGTGGAGAGTTGTTTCAGTCCTTCTTTTCATTTTTTTTTTCTTTGCGAAGTACTTATCTTATTGAATAATTAAGTAATTATAGTCACCTCAGGTATGAGCCTCTTTAAAAATCTTCATACATTTAAATGAAGGAAAAGAAGACAGATAACGGGGAAAGAATACACTTAAAGAGGTGACAGATAGGTCATTCGAATCAAAATCAGTTCGGGTCCTTTCGGTTTGGGTCATTTCGATTTAGATTAATACGGGTCGGGCCATTTCAAGTTTCGATTTTATTTGGTTCTATAGTAAGTTAGGTTCATTCGAGTATGGATCAATATCGGATTGGTTGATTTCATGTAAGATTAAATCGGATCGATTGATTTTCGGGTCGAGTCATTATTCAATCAATTATTTTCGTTTTGGTCAACTTTGGATCTCCAGATCAATTCACGTTAAGTTGGATATGAGTCAAATCAAATATAAATAGAATTATTGATATATTTTTGAAAAAACGTGTCTTTTTTTTAAATTTATCATTTGTGTTCAATTTCATTCAAATTCAATTACCATTTAGGAATTGTAATTTAACTCAAACTCGAAGTATAATATGTTAGATTTTGTGATTTTTTTTTATTAATCCCGACTGAAAAGTTTATGGTACGATCTATTTATTAAAAAATAAAATTATAAATTATAAATTTTATTATCTAGTAAAATTTTAAATTAAATTCTAAACGTTTAATTATAAATATAATATATTTTTTATTAAATTTAAAAGTAATAATAATATACTATTTATGTTTGAATAAATATTATTCTAAATATATTTATAAATGATATTATGTTATTATATCATGGATAATATTTTATTTTTTAAATTATAAATAAAAATAGATATCTTTATATTGTAAAAACAAGTTATTTTTATATTAAATTTAAATAACTGTAATCATTTCATATACAAATGAATTAAAATAATTTGTAAATTAATTTAATAGTTTTGGAAAGTTATTTTAGTAGTTCAAAGTAAAATATTAAAATTAATAATGAATTAATTGCATCATATTCCCTAAACTACGACTCTTATTGTAACTTAGTCCTTAAACTTTTAAATATTTTGATTTCATCCTTACACTATGGCTCTCATTCTAAACTAGTCCTTAACTTTTGAACATTTGAATTTCATCCCCAAACTATGAATCTCATTCTAAATTGGTCCCTAAACTTTTAGATCTTTTAATTTCATCCCCAACTTCATCCAAATATGTAATCAATTTCAACCGTAGTTTAGCCTAAATTTTATTTTTTTCAAACATATAATAATATAACTTGCCTAATGATTTTATTAACAAGAGATGTGATTAGTATATATGAATAATTTAGGATAAAAATTAAAATATTCAAAAAGTTTGGGGGACCAATTTATGATGAAGATCATAGCTTGGGGATAAAAATGAATTGTTCAAAATTTTGAGGACTAATTTAGAATAATAGTCGTAGTTTAAGGATGAAATTCAATTGTTTCAAAGTTTAGGGATTAATATGAAATGGGGGTCATAGATCGGGGACATATGATTCAATTAACTCATTAATAATTCATAATTTGATTTAAATAAATTGAAAACCAAATTAATAAGTTATTTTAGTATTTTTATACACTTTAACTCAATTATCGTGTTAAAATCAGGTTAATGTTCGATTCAAATTGTGTTTTGGTAAATTAAATTTAGGATACTTTCAATTCAATTATTTTTTATTTTGTTGATTTCAGTTCGAGTGCCTTTCAGTTTGGGTTACTTTCGATTTTGCTAAAATTCGAGTCAATTTCAGTTCAGTTTAGTTTACTTCCAGTTCGGGTTACTTTCAGTGTGGCTAAAATTCGGGTCAGTTTCGATTCAATTCGATTTTTTTCAAATTTCAAGTCAAATTTGGGTCATCATGTTCGGGTCTATTTTGGATATCGATTTGGGTAATTGGATTCATGGTAAATTTTTCCAGGTCTACCAACAACCTAGGAACAAAATGAGTAAACATGATCCCACTACCATACATGCTGTCATTCGGGGTAATGCTAGCCCAATCAGCTTAAAACAGAAAGTTTACAACGATCCTTGGTACGATGTTAGAGGTAAAGTCATTATGGCTACTTTAAGTCGATAAACCCTAAAGATATAATAGTTGATAGTAAACAGTTATAGTAGATCATGTGAGCCAATCAAAAGTTATGTTAAGAAGTCACGATTTCTTAAAGGATGTCGAACGCTTGGGGTCTTTCCTCTGGAGATGTTCTTCCGAAAATTCAACTACAAAGAAGTTTTGCGGAGTTATTGTTATGCAAAGATTGATCTCGTGGAGGATATCTAGAAAGGGTAAAACATTTTTTATAAAATAGTTTGACCCGAAACTTATCATTAAAATAAGTTACTTGCATTTAATTGATAGTTTTTATGAGAAAGTCGTAACAATTGCGCT